TGTCAGCGTCAGTGCGACGTCTCGCCGGCGGAAGTGATGTCCTCCGATCTTCACTGCGGTCTTGGGCCCGCAGGTGGGGCAGCGAAGCCCGGGAAACACAGCGAGGGTGTTTGGTGGGGGGCGGACACTTTACCAGCCCGGAGAAGCGATCTGACGGGAGCTGAGCTGTCAGAATCGCTTCGATTGTAAAGCCGACAGCCAGCTCTACAAATGCAGAGTCCTGTCGGAGTCTGTTTAAACAGGCCCCCTGCCAATGATGTACTATCTACTTCGCTGGTCGTGAAGGGGTTAGAGAAGAACTCCAGGAAATCGATCGTCGCTAAATACAAGCGATCCGCCGGCTTTACATCCGGCGGATCGCATGTATATTAACGGGCAGCGCTGCCCGTTTTTAAATTGCGGCCATTTCCCGCTGGCGGCGCGCACAAGGGGGCGTGTCTGAGCGGACGTTTTTTTACTACGGCCGGCCCGGAGGTAGTTAAAAAAACCTTTCCCTTGCAGTGGGGCTACCTCTTTTTTAAACTTTTTACTCACCTGATCCTCAGTCCTGCAGAAGTTGGCACTCGCCTTTCTCCCCTTCCACTCTGGCTATGAAATGTTCCTTGGCATCCTCACGTCCAATCTAGCAGCCTGGAGGGAGCTGGTGGGACTGAGGATCATGCAAGTAAATCTTAAACAAATATACAGTATTGTGTTAGTGGTTCTCGACCTGCGTAACCTCAGGACCCGCATTTGTCCTCGGTCAATAGATCGTGACCCAAGTTGCACTGCAATGGAACGCACGGCATTAGGGTACCATGCGTTCTGATGCAGGCAATAGATCTGTGGATGGGAGATGCATTTGGGGTGAGACAAAATCTCTCTGGCACACATACGCACTCCAAAACTTTAAAAAATTCAAATTTCTCCTTACCTTACGAGAACTGGAATGGATCTCAGACTGGGGTCCAATGTGTGCTGCTCCATCCATATGTGCATCCACTTGTACAGCTCCCTTGTACACACTGTAGAGGTGCCAGGAGCCAGAATGTGATGTCACTCCGGTCCAGGCACCTCTATAGGACGCGCAAGGGAGCTGTAACCAATGTACTTATGGATGGAGCTCCCTCACGGCCATAGCCCCAGCCCACCCCACCTCAAGCTGACACTCGTTGCCGGTCAGCGTATTTTAAATGGCTGCTTGTCGTGAGAACTGAGTGTTGCACTAGGGGGAGGCTGAGGAGCCTTTCGCCTAGAAAAGTGGAAGGCACGAGGGGACCCACTGAACACTGGGTCGTGACCCACTTTTGATTCACGACCCACCAGGTAAGAAGCAAGGGTTTAGATCACCAAAGTGTATTTCCACACTTTAGTCATTAGTATAGCAATTTGCCAGCCTAAAAATGGCCTGGCCAGGAAGGGGGTGAAACACTATGGCCTTCAAGTGGTTAATAAAATGTCATTACATACCATGAAATACCATTAATGCTCCTATCATCTCGGTCACCTCAGTCAGGGGTCAATATCCTCAAGAGGAACAAAGGAAATTCTCTAGGGTGCTTTTGACTGTCTTTTACCTAGAAGCACAGGCTACAGTCCTTAAAGGTCTGAGGTGAGATGTACTCTTCTCTGGGTGGATTTAACCAGCTAGCTGAATGTATTGTAAGCTGTATTGATTTAGGTATTTATAGGAGAGGGATTCCACAGCGGGTGCAGAAATAAGATGAAGAGATGTTGTAAAGGGGCAGTCTTTAAGAGATTTATATTGTTTTGTTAATAATATGGCATTTGTAGCTTTCTTTCTTTATATTGGCATAAATGGTGTTTTAGAAACTATTAAACATTTTAAATAGAATCGCACATGGTTTGCATAGTGGTCAAATTATCATTTCAGGAAGTCCTAACATTGTATAGCATCATGTTGTACATGTAGAGTTGAAAGTGTGCTAGGACATGTAGTGCTGCCAAGCAAGGCCTTGGCTCGTAAACATGGCTGTGCTCAGAGTACATTGACAATACGAGAGCCAACGGGGCGGGGAGGTTGCTCTCCAGCATCTGCACTGAAGTGTATCTGGAATGATTACCATGTTATATAACACATTCATCTGACACTATACATTGGGAAATAGTGAACAGCCTTACAATTAAGTTGGTAATTGCTAAAGTACACACTTCCCTCAGGCAGATAATGTGTGTATGGTTTTTCCTATCGGCACTGTTCCCTCCTCCTTAACTCTTTACCTTCTTATTGTAGATAAGTCAGAAAGGACCGCAGCATTCATTATCATTAGTATTGGGATTTATATAGCACCGACAATTTACACAGTGCTTCACATACTGTACATTCCCTGCCATCAAGGAGCTTACATTCTATGGTGCCTGTTTCACAAACATACATACATACATTAGGGCCAATTTAGACAAGAGCCAATTAACCTACAAGTACGTCTTTGATTTCCTTCAATAATCTGTGGATGAGACTTATGCATATACTGAAATGATAACTGGTGCCACTGCCACATGTATAAAACTTTAGTTCTTTTAAGATATGATATTTTGAAACCTATTGGTTTGCAATTCTATCTGCACTTGCAGCTCTATTATCAGATTCTCCAAGATAGCATTAGCCAGAGGTCACATCAAGGTGAGGCGACCTGAATAGCTGGTTTTGTGCCATGTTATGCAATGCCCTTCCATTATTTCACATATGCCAATGTTTGCTGGATACTGAAGACTTCTGTTCTTTGTTCTGGTTGTTCAGCTATTTTATTATGCATATGATTTGCATACATTCCGGTTTTGCAGTTAAAAACATAATCCTGAAGTTAATTACAACCAGAATGGGCATAATTTTTGGGTGGTTCTGGGCCACTTAAGCTGGCCATGCACTGTTAGAATTTCACTCAGTTCACAGGAACTGACCCAAATTCTGCAGTGTTTGACCTTGCCGGTTCAACAAAAGTTTATTGTTGAATCGACTTGTTGTAGGAGCCGAGACAGTATTTGTTGGCTGGACAGTGGCTGTAGCCGATCAGCTGCAGTGACAGTTTGTGTATTCTGTCAGTGGGCAGGTGTTGGCTGTCAAACTGCAATAGCCCGGCAAGGTAGGGTGGTGGTGATTCTGTTAGATTTCTCCCGTTTTTAGCCCGCAGGCTGAATGTTCCTTTATGGCCAGCTTTTGCCTCTTGTCAGGGGGATCATGCCTTTTTGATGAAGGTGCTAAAAAAGATCATGTAACTTCAAAAAGTATTCATGTCACTCTTCCCTTTAGTAGTACCCTGCTAATTTAGAGAGAGAATTGGTGTTTTTATCATTCTAGTTTTTATCCGGTGTGGTCACAGCTCACAAATAACACTTCATATTATAAACCCTAAAAATGAGCTCTAATTAGTATTTGCAAAAACTGTTATAATGTGGAATGGTAGCTGGAGTCATATAGTTCTCAAACAATACAAAGCTGGCAAACTATCATGTTGCAATATATGCATTAACCAGATTAAACTGTGTGGAGGTATAAGAGGAATTGCACACCAAGGACCCATTGGCATCTGCCACAATGAAACTGATCTTTTCTTTTCTCTGCATTATATAACCTATTATGTTCCTGCTCTAAAGCAAAAGTTACACCAGGCTAAAATGTTGATTAGATTATTGTACTGTAAGAAATGGTATCATAGCACCAGTAAGAACTATGGATTTTTAATATATTGGTGTTAGTACGTTATAATCATCACGGCCACCAATCACATTTAGATTTATAGATTCAGAATCTAATTTCCTTCTCGCTCTCTCTCGTAAAAGGTGTAGCTGTATAGAAAGGCAAGCCTGACAGTATAGATGTGTTCCTATGAGATTCAGAAACATTTCTTCAAATGCACTTACAACTCTTTTTTTGGGCCTTTTTTAGTAAGTCTCGCATCCCTCCTATAGACTCCTTACCGCATATTTTAAATCCTTTGTTCTAAACTGGTGGGTCATGACCCTATGTTCAGTGGGTCATCGTGTGCCTTCCAATTCTCTAGGTGAGAGGCTTCTCAGCCTCCCGCTACAGCAGCACTGTTAGTTCTCGTGTCAAGCAGCCATCATATGCTGCCCAGTGCTGAGTGTCAGCTTGAGGTGGGGTCTGCAAGGGAGCTTCATGCATACATGCATTGCTTACAGCTTCCTCACATGTCCTGTAGCGGCACCTGGACCAGAGTGACATGACGTTCTGGCTGGAGCTCCGGCACAGCAGACCACACTGGACCCCAGGCTGAGGATCCACTCCAGTTCTCGTAAGGTAGGGAGACTGGGTGGATCTTACAAAAAGAATGACATTTTGTTTTGGAATGTATTTGTGTCTGTCAGTGTTTTGAGGGCCCATTCACACTAGTGCAGTGCGTTAACGCACTGTACCATGCAATCGCACTTACTACTCCCTCTAACACTTGTGCAATGGGAAAAGTGGTTCACCATTACAGGAAGGCACAGACGGACATGAAAACCCTCTCAGAAGTTCTAACCTTCACTGCAATACCAGTTGTTTTAGTTTTTTTGTTCTTTTCCAGTGTAGGAAAGATTTCCCTTCACTCCCTGGTTTGAAAGGAAGTGAGAGGAAATCTCCCTGATTTTTTATTTAGGGTTTCATTATCCTTGTCCCTGACAAAGACTCTGACTCTTCCCTGGGCTGTAATGTACAAGGGCTTATTTTCCCCCCTCTCTTTTTGTGATCCATCTGCTCTGTCAGGTATAATTTTATGTTGTGATGATTAATATTGACTGAGTATATCATTATTTTTCACTTGAATTAAATATACAGATGCAGTCTTTAGGATGTTTGTAAATGGATTGACATAAACTATCATTTTTCGTGAAGGCTTTTCCTTAGACTGGGGCTTCCCAGCTTGCAGGCAGCGACCAGCTATACTATTGGCCTACATAGTCTCACTAAGAAATTCCATAGCTAGTGTTTCAGATGATATGAAATTCTAAAGTTCAGCCGTTCTCAGCCTTGACGTTTTGCTTGTCTTTTTTCTTTTCAGACATTTGTCTTCATGTGGCATTCTTATGTCTAGAACACCGAAAAAGATTTTGCAGAATGTTGATGACCCTTGTATCCAGCACTGTCGGAGCTTTCTGGGATTTTCTGGACCTTTCACTAATAAGAGAAAGGAGTACTCAGAGCGCAGAATACTTGGGTAATAAAGTAATCTTCAGTCCTTTACTTTCTCATCTCTATTGTTGTGTCTTCTTATTTGTAATTGTTTTTATTGTGCTAAATAATTATTTGTTTAGCAGCCATGACAATGTAATTTATCCATAAAGCAAATGTTATAGCCTTCTTAAAGTGAACTTGTGTTTTGCCTATGTTCACTTCCTGCTGATATTCTCCTTCACCTGGTGCTTCTGGTTATTGGGAGCATTTGACTGTATTCCCCTCCCCCAGAATGCAGCATTGGGTGACAAAGCATGTGATTGCTTGGCCCCAGCCCTGACATGTAGGGCCAGAGAGAGAATATATTGTCTTGTCTAAGCCTGGCCAGAGCGACTTGGTGCTTATATAGGGTTTATGTAAGCAGATAAGCAGTATAAGCAGATGGGGGGCTGAGTGAACCTTGGGGATTTAGTGAACCTGTTGCTTTGCCATGCATGGGCAAAACAACAGGTTTCCCTGTGTGACACTGTGAATGAAATAAAGCTATTGCAGTTTTGTTTTCCACTATGTCCTTTTACTGTCAACAGCCCTGCTTAACCTTTGCTGACATAAGGACAACCTAATATTGTGCATCATTAAATCATTTATGGAAACATTTTAAAACATTTTTTGTAATGGCGCTTTTTTTCCTTTTTAAATAATAATAAAAAAAAAAGGATGTTGCTTACTTCCCTCCCGCTTTGACCTACTGAACTGTAGAGCATTCTACGCCACATCCTTAGATCAGCCTTTCTCAACCAGAGTGCCTTCAGGCTTTGTCAGTGGTGCCTTCAAATGTTTGCACACTTTAATGCATTTTCATGATGCAGGCAAGCTGGGCACCACCACCACCACAATGGAAAATGTGATGCTAACTCAGGTTGGCGCAGGATCCAGGACCTTCCCCAGCATTCTGAAGAGGATGGAAGTCTACCTCCATCCAGACCTGCTCAGCCATGTGCCCTCTGCCATGCTGCTGCAGCCAAACTGTGGTGAAGGTTATAAGGTAGGATGTGATGGGGTTTCCAGATGTTAAGGAACCCTGTCAATGGAGCCATCTATGCTATGGTCCCTTAAAGCCTATCTAAGGTGCACCAGCCTGTGGTTGCACACTTCTCTCCTTAAATACAATGAAGGACTAATGTTGAAGCCAAGAGACCACCCACAGTCTGAAATGTCAGGAAGAAAAGGAGCGCGCTGGAGCCTGCAGGGAGTACTGCAATGGGTTTTTCAATTCTGTTTATTTACGGGCACAAGATCTTTAGATCTTGGTCATTGGGTTTTAGCGCCACCTTCAGGAGTAGGACACTAGGCACAAAAGCACAGCCTAGGGGTGGCCCCTGCAGGTGGCCAAACCTCCATCCAGAGGAAGCTCAGTTTTTTTTTTTTTCTAGTGTCAAGGAGTAAAGACCTAAAATAGGCTTCTTTTGGGGTCCCTAAACCACTGGATCTTCTGGTAACCTGTGGCTTGTTCACCAGCCTTCTGGAGTATTGTAGAGCTCCGTCTGTTGCCTGTCGTTGCCTTCCACAAAACTGGCTGTCCTTGTGCTATTTGGGGATGTCTTTGCTTTTAGCAGGGTTACACCGCTATGCTTCTGGTAGGGTTTAACCTTATAGTCTCTATAGGATGCTTCTGTGTGCACACCCTCCACTGACCGCAATGGAGCATCAGATTGCAGAGATACTTGTTTCTCATGCATCATTTGATTGTGTTAGATTTCATGGAGGAACCCTTTAGCTGTGTACTGACTCTGTGCTTGGGGCTTTTGGACTTTGTGTCGGCTACGTGGGTTTCAGTGTGCACAGTCTGCTAGATTGTCCAAGGCTTCCCGCTGCATCCCCTTGGTTACTAGAAGCGATTGATTTCAGTGTTGGGCTGCAGAGCCAGTTGCAGACTGCTTTCCAAGGCATGGATTTTTTCTGGGTTTTCCTAGACACCTTCTTCTGTGTTTCTGTGGGGGTGAGTGTTCTTTTACCCTGGAAATTTGGCTAGGAACCCTACCAAGAACAGTTCTTTTTGTCACCATCTGGTCTTCCCTGTTTCTCTGTTGGTCAGGCCAGAACTCTCTGGACTTCCTTACATACATACATACATACATATACATATATACATACATACATACATACACACGTTTGTGTGTGTGTATGCTGTTTCCTGTCTTGTCTGCTTAGTTTATTTTGGGTTTGGACTTTTTTGGCAGGCTGTGCCTGGATCCATCCAGTGGTAGGTCATCTGGAGGTGTTTCAGGGCCAGGTGTTCAATACTCGATGTGTGTCTTTGGAATCCAGGTTAAGCTACATGCCGTGTATTTTTTTTTTTTTTCCCCCTCTCCCTTACCAGGGAGTCAATAGCGGTAGCAGTGTCTGCTAATGTGGTTTCATGGCATCTGCCAATGCCTTCATGGGATTAGTTTAGCTTGCTCTTTGATAGTCTTTTGCAACTTCTCTTTTGGCTATTCAGCAGGTCTGGGTCGCTATGGTCTTGAGTGGACTTGTGTTATATGCCCTGTGGGCTTCCTTATTTGTCTGGATCTTCGGTTTCCAGGGATAAATGTATTCCCGGCTCTATAGTTGCAGATTTTTCTACATAACTTGAGGCCTTGGTTCTGAGTGACAGAGGCTCTATAGCCCTTCGATACTCAGGGGTGAGAGTTCTTCTGCCTACAGGTCTGCCCTTGCAGGTGATTGGTTCGTTTGCTTGGATGAGGTGCTTTCACTCTTGGTTAGTATCTGTCGGGAGAATCGTGACCCCTTTTCAAGTGGGCCTGGTTCAGCACTTGTTCCTTTTGGACCTTTGTAGGGTACTACTAGGTTTCTACTTTGCGTTCTTTTTTTCAGAGATCGCTGGCCCTCCTCTCTTGGATAAGACTTGGTGAGGGGAATGTGTCTTTCCTGGGGTTCCTCCCTTTGCTTTGTGGGATCAGTGTTGGTTTTGGAACACCGTCTTTTGTACCATTTTTAAGGATGTTTCCCTCTCCTCTCTGGGTTGCCTTTTTGCCTTCAATGGGGAGGTTTATATATTGCTATCTGAGGGATGTTTTCCTAGCAGCTGGGAATCCAGGTTGTTTCTGAGCTCTGTTTTTTCCTCTTGTTTGCTGTCCCTGTATGTCTTCTTGTATGTCTGGCTGCATAGTGTCCTACTCCTGAAGGGGGGTGCAAAAACCCAGTGGTCAAGATCTAAAGATCTCTGCTCTGCCTTTCAATGGGTGAATACAAAATTTTTGTGAATACAAAAGGAAAATCATATGATGCGATTTTACCAATGCATCACACCATCCTTCGCAACGAACACCACCAAACACACATGAAAAAGTTCATACATGTACATTTGAAACAGAAAGTGAAAGCAACTTTCGCTGACTAATTTTGGGGTGGGAGTATGTGTGTGGTGGATACTGATAAGCTGGTGAAATCTGCAAATGTTACCTTTTTAGTGATAGCTTTACTGCTTGGCTGATGTCGGCATAATGTGTGTGGAGAAATATGTATAGTTCCTGACTAGACTTGTCTACTTCAGTTTTTACTCCTATTTAGTAATGTTGAGAACTCCAACCGCACCTAATCGCTCTGGTGCCAGCCTAAGCATGATTATCTGACTTTGCTGAAATTATCTGGTCTTGTCATGTGCTTATAAATCAAGGGACGTTCATGATCTGGAACTCCTAAATGCCTTTTCTAATATCATGTGCAATAGCGCAGCTGCTCTTTTTCTTGCAAAAAAAGTTTTAAGCTATTATGCAGTCATTTCGTAGGACAATTCACATTCTGCCCGCCAGCATCAAAATAATAATATGCATTCTGCACATCTCTGCTATACATATTTCCCCATGTTTTACCCCTTTTACAAGTTTTGCACATCCAGAAAAACACCAGTAAATCTGTCTGGATTCCTGTTTGCTCCTAGCTTTCTGATTTGAGCTGAAATTGGAGTGCCTTTGCTACACTGAAATCCCAAGCAGCATTGTCAGTTCTGCCTGCTGGACTACAGAACTCTATATATGCGTGCCTATATGTCCAGGGGTGTGGAAATTTAAAATAAAACTACTTGTCCAAGTGCTAAAGTGGGGGCCAAATCTACTTGTCCCTCATGACAATCTACTTGTCCCAATACAAAAAATAGTTTTAATCAAAACTAAGGATGCACCTATACCGTTTTTTCGGTATCGAGTACCGAATTGTTTGCTTTCGGATCTCGCCGACACTTAATACTAATACCGGTGCTTCCGCTGGCATGGAGCAGACTTCCCTGGTAATCAGGAAGCCAGGCAGCAGGTAATGACATCCCGCCCAGGTTCCTGATTGCCACGGAAGCCGTCTCCATGTTGTTTGGCCTGCTTGATTGCGATTGGCCGGGAAACCTGCTTCCCGGTCAATCAGGAAGCCGGGTGGCGAGTATGCTGATTGGCCAGGAAGCCGGCTTTCCAGCCAATCAGCAGGTAGCCGGCTTCCCGGGCCAATCAGAAAACCAGGAGGCGGGTCATTACTTGCCGCACGGCTTCCTGATTGCACAGGAAGCCGGCTTCATGTTGCCCTACGGCACTGCCAATCAGAAGAAATTTTCATCTGGCCATAAGGTCCAATATCGGGGAAGGTATCGGAGCATTTGGGTGAGTACGAGTACTTGCCCAAATACTCGGTATCGGCACTGATACTAGTATCGGTGCACCCCTAATCAAAACCTATTTTACTGTGCAAAATAGCGCTTCTCACTGGTCAGCGCAGTCATCTGACCACGTTGACCAATGAGTGCTTGCAATTTGCGAGCGATTAATTCAAAATGGATAGGGGAGGCCTGCGCTGGACAGCAGTACGGGGGGACAGATAGTACACCCATACTGGCGGAGGGGAGGCATTGTTCGCCGACAGGTAAGTATAGCCAGGGGGGGTGGCGGTTTGGGAGAGACGGGGCCAGATTTCATCGGGTAATTTTTATTTTTCCATATAACCTGGGAAAATTAACTTGCCCTTTAATGCACATTGTGTGTGTGTGTGTGTGTAAGAGGATTCTGGCTACCATCATGGAATGGCGGCTGTAATCTCAAAGCACATGCAGAATGTCCTACGCATGCGTTTATTTGCATGCAGATGGCGGGGGGCAGCAGGGTTTCATTTTTATTTTTTCATTTTTTTTTAATCTTTATTTCATTTTTTTAACTTTTCTTTGTATTTATTTAATTTTTCCCCTTAATGTTCTTCCTATTACATAGGAGATTAAAATCCCGTATGTGATAGTTTGGAGGTGACAGGTTCTCTTTATGGAACCTGCAATATAAGACCTACCACCGAACTAGGTCTTATTTTCGGGGTAGGTCTTATATTACAGAAATCACTGAAGATAGCGCTAGGTCTTACTATCGGGGAAACACGGTAGTTTATTTCATAGCAAGCAGTGCTTCTGCCTTGATTCCCAAAAGCCTTTCCACACACAAGGGCTCTTGGAAAGTGTAGTTTTGGGGGGTGTCTAAATCAGCAGAAACTGACATCGCAGAAGCTGTTCCTGCAAGAATTTTACAAACCTGGTGATGTCACAGAGAGTAATAAAGGCTGGTTTTCACTACAGGGACAAGGTCAAATGAAAAATATGGGTAATACACTCCGTCAGATGGTAGTAACATCCTCCAGTTTCCTGTTGCAGTAATTATGCAGGGTGTTGGTGTATGACTGTGTGCAGTTCATGAGGCATCATAGTTAGACCTAGTTCTCTCACGTTATCACACCTCACTGTCAGAGCAGCTCTGTTACTGAGGGCTGATTACTATGAACCTTAATTAACGCCTGGGTGAATATTCCACCTTTTATTGCCTTTTTTTTTATTGATCTCAGTAAATAGCCTAATCTTGGCTCAAATATTGACATCAAGGTTCAAAAGATTTTTTGCCCATCTGTTTTGACCAGTTGGTGTTATTGCTTGCTGGGATCATAGCAATGGCTGTTCTAATGGCTGCCCCCTAATAAGGCCATTGGAGGTTGGTGGATTTCTGAATCCTTTTTTTTTGTTATAAGCTGTTGTGAACCCTTTGGTGTCCTCTTTGAAATTGGTGCGTGTGTTTTTCACATCCTCATAGTTAGAACCGACGTGTGACATTAAAACTGTAACAGGTCGGCTCTATTGATTGGAAAGGGAGCGAGCACATACCTCGATCGCTCACTTCTCGATCATCTCCCTGCACTGCCAGTCACCGCTCCCCGCAGGGACTCGCCCCTCTCCGATCCTCCAGCGCTGAGTGGAGGAACGGGGGGGTGGCTGGCACACGCTGTCAATCATCCAGCAGTGTGGGGATCTGTCCCGGCTGCGGCGCTCTCAGTATATAGCGAGCAATTAGCATTGATAAGTGCTTTTAGCAAATTTAGTGCGGATTACTGGTTAATGTGTTGTTGTCGGATTTGAATTTGATAGGTTTGGGAATAGATCTATATTTTTTATGAATATAAATTGTAAAATGTAGTAAATTTTTTTTTAAATTCATGTTTATTAGTAGAACATACTGGCTGATATCCTAGAAATGTACACTATGCAAATGTATTTAAGGTAATGTATAGGTTTTTTTTAACTTTTTTTACCTATTTTCTTTATATTTGATTTAGGACTAAACAATTTATAAGCGCTAACTTAAATGCAGTATCTGCCAGCGGATGATTCCTTGTCCCATGCTGTTTAGTGTGTATTGGAGGGAGGGGGGATCGAGTCTTCTTGTGTCCGGCTCAAAAACTAAACATGTATAGCCAGCTTTAGGGTCAGTGTCATTGTGTTTTAAGTAGGATAAGAAAAAAGTTTACATTTTTTGTATTAGTGTGTTTTTAGTAGGAAAAAAGCAAAATGTGCACTTTAGTTTCTGGGCCCTGCTACCGGTCCAAACAACAACAAATAACGCACACATATGTGATCTACCCATGTCAGGAGTAGGAGAATTTATTTTGGGTTGTTTTTTGGTAGTGGGTCATGATAATGGAAATAAATATACAGCTAAAGTGTGAATAATTATTTTTATTATTTATTTACTATTTTCCCATGATGCGTAAAAAAAATCGGGAGATATTCACTAACATTTACCACAAAAAACAAGGTATGATTCACCTAGATATATCAATTAGGCTCCATTTACACACTAGCGGTTTTGCGCGGAAGCGCGCTAGACATAAAGAAATGCTTTTCAATGTTAGTCATTCACACAAGGGCAGCGTCCAGACGGTTTTAAAACGTGCGTCCCGCGAAAAAGTCCTAGCACGATTTTCTGTGCAGATTCCACACGGTCTGGTTATAGTACTGGCTGCAAACGCACGGAATCCGCGCATATGTTAACGGTTGCGCATTTTCACGTCGCTATGTGTGAATGGAGCCTTAGTAAACTGTACATCATCTTTGCAACTATTACATGCCAAAATTGGAATCGGGATTTATAGTGTATTTTCACTTTTGCAGCCTAATTGGGACAACATAGCAACAGTTCAATATGTAAATATTGCAGCTTGCCACTTTACTTGCTCTATTCTGATTGGAAAGTTTTTTTGTTTTTTATTCTCTCTGTACTGAATTTTCCTCTGGAGTGCAAGGCGGGCTGGCCTGTCTGTGCTGTGCTGGCAGATCTTGAGTTATAAACTAGATTTGAAAGAGTTAAAGATCTAGTAGCATTGTATGTTAAGAAGCTCAGAGTGTCTTGTCCGAATACTTTTCCATAGCTCCAGCTATATCATACTGTGAGTCACAAGATAAACTACATAATGAAAATGTAATACATGTCACTGAACTTGCATTTAACTTTCAGCTACTCCATGCAAGAGATGTATGAAGTTGTATCCAACGTGGAAGAGTACAAACTATTCGTACCATGGTGTAAAACATCCACTATCATCTCCAAGCGCACAGGATATGCCAAAGCACAGCTGGAAGTTGGCTTTCCACCCATTTTAGAGCGATATACATCCATCCTCACACTGGTGCGCCCTCATCTAGTAAAAGTAAGTGAAGTCATAATGTCCACATCACTGTTCACTACAAAAGTAAAATCCACAACAAAAATGACTTAATACCATTTATGTATTTATTTGTGTAGAGCTGGAGATATTCTACATTCTATGTACAATGTGTTCACAATGCTGTGAGTGTAGAGTAGACCCAACTCGCTGCTCTATTACAGAACATTGATAAAATCATGATGACACACGCTGGAGGAAAGCTGGCCATGCTCAGCCCACGGACTGAACCAAAAAACATAACCAATTCCTCCAGCCATGCTAAACAGCATGAATGGAGGCATCTCCTTCGGTGTCCTTTTTGTGTGCCGCTGTCAGAATACCTGAACACATTTTTCATTTGGCTATTTCAGTTTTCTGGTCAAACAATGCTAAGCGGAATGGGGCCAACAGGGGCATCCACTGCAAATTTTGGCTGTTTCACGAAGAACTGGCTGAAGTTCGCAGTGATTTTGGCACAATGGATTGATCAATCTGGTGCAAGCAGAAGTCAAGTCAAGGAAGTTAATATACTCAAATGGATATTTGTCATGAGACCTATGAAAGGTACTCGCTCATCGTTCCACATGCAGAGACCGAAAAGCGGATTTCCACTTTTTCAATGTAACATTGACCATGCAAAGTTTGGGTAATTCTTAAACTTTCAGAAATCATTGCTGGAAATTATTTATCATTTGGAGTATCTTGTCCTGTTTCTTGATCTGAACCCTGGATCTTCATGGGGATTTGGCTGTCTCTGAAGCATTTGGCCATACTGTTGGAAGGTCATCCAATCTGGATTCAGTCAGACAACAATACAGCAGTGGCATACATCAACCATCAGGGAGAAATCGAATGTCTCACTGTGGCCAGACAAGGTTCAGATCCTGCCATGAGCAGAGTTTCAAGTTCCTGCTTTTTCCAGCAGTTACATAGTATTTGAGGTTGAATAAAGACATAAGTCCATCAAGTCCAACCTTTTGCGTGCATGCATTTACAGGTGAAACTCTAATAATTAGAATATCGTGCAAAGTTCATTTATTTCACTAATGCAACTTAAAAGGTGAAACTAATATATGAGATAGACTCATTACATGCAAAGCAAGATAATTCAAGCCGTGATTTGTCATAATTGTGATGATTATGGCTTACAGCTCATGAAAACCCCAAGAACCCCAAATCCACAACCTCAAAAAAGTAGATTACATGCAATCAATAAAACAAGGATTGTACATAGAACAATATCGGACCTCTGAAAAGTACAAGCATGCATATGTACTCAGTACTTGGTTTGGGCCCCTTTTGCAGCACTTACTGCAATTACTTTTGCACGATATTCTAATTATTCGAGTTTCACCTGTATGTTTGAGCAGGTGTGTGCGTGTATATGAGTCTATGTGTGATTTTGCTCTTAAGAGTACCTGTACCCCTTTATGTTATGGTCTCCAAGGAACTGGTTGACAGGCAGACTTCCTCAGCTGCAAGCTTCTGGACCTGGGGGAGTGGTCCTTATGCCAGGAGGCGTTCCAGGTCCTTTATCCAACTGGATACATTTTTCTCCTTGTACCAGCATACTCTAGCGGAAGCAGTGGAAGCTCCGGTGACTCCCTGAGATCAGTATTCACTGATTTTTAATTTCCATCCCCTGAATTTTCTTCCTCCATCTGTTTTGCAAGATTGGGATAGAGTGCATTTTGGTGATCCTCATTGCTCTACACTGGCCCAGGCGAATGTGGTATGCTGTCCGGGTACGGCCCCTGACAGGTGATCTGTGGCAGATCGTCAGGGTTTCCTGTCCCAAGGTCCATCTTGCCATCCTACCATTCGACCGCTGGCTTGAACAGCGCGTTTCATTTTACATCAATTCTTCTGAGTTTTTGTGCATTTTAACCTTTTACAGAGAGAAACAAACATAAATGCTGTCAAATGTTGAGCTAATTGCCTGGCTTTGATGCAGATCCAAGGGTTCAGTACTTTGTCAGCCGATGGCCAGGAACAAGTATGCAAACCAAGACTTCTCACTTCACTGGCTACATTTTTTTCTTTGGGGCCAGAAACGAGATTTAAATTGTTGAAGTCCAAAAATCTCCTTGACAGTCAGGCAATTAGAGGTTTTTCAAAATGAATCAGTAATGGCATCCTGCATATTTCTAAGTGTTCAAATAACACAACATCTCCTTAAACCATATGGTAAAATGCATGGGTATTCACACATATAGAAACATGCATGAGTTAAAACACAAGCTTGTTTTGGAAGCATAATATTGTGCATATGCCCCAAATGCAATCTCCTTGAGTACAGCACAGTTGGCTGTTTTTGCATCTATGTTTAAGTGGTATTGGGTTTATGTGTGACTTGCATTTACAGACTGTACAGGTTTGTAAATCTCTGGAGACATTTACTGGTTGAAAGTTGTGCGTAACTAGTACAAACCTTTGGCTGACGACCGTTTGTGAATCACTTTTGTATTTAATATTGATATCATAGAGTTGGTTTATATGTATATTAATACCGTATAATATTGTTTTTAGGTTACACTGGTGTGTGGAAGATGTGAATATTTTATATGTGGGTCATGCAGACACAACTCTGCTGTAGTGTGATATCATCTTCTCTTCTGTTCATAAATCTAAATTAGTCACTGCCAGGTTGGTTTTCCAACCTGGTTTTCCATCTGGGTTGGCACTCCAGATGGTTTTCTTTTAAAGGGTAAGGTAGATTTCAAGGTCGCAAAACACGAGAGGAGAGAACACATTACTAAAGATTACGTCAAGCCTGGAAAGTTTACAGCTGGGTAATACTCGCAAGTAACTTCTTGTTTAAGTGTATATCCAGCCATGTAGGAAGTGAGGAATAAACTTCCAACAGCAATATGGAGAGAAAAAAAAAAATGTGTTAGTAGAGTCATAAAAATGTAATTCTGGACTAACCCTATGAGTCAATGCGCTACATCCTTAATATCTGAATATAGAACACTAAAAAAAAATTTTGTTTGGGGACTTTTCAGGTGCTACAATGATAACTTAAACATTTACACAAACCCCCCACCATTGAATCCATCCTAATATCGGATCGATAGACTTGTAAAGTATTTATATGGGTACAAAAAATGAAAAAAAGGCCTCAGTCATGAAGGGGTTAATGTGGATTAGTGGGGTTTATGAAGGCATTCTATGTAGTAGTATCAAAATTGTATGGGCAGATCTTTTTATATTAAAGCGCACCTTTACACTCAAAAATCAAATTCCCTTTATGTATGATGATGATTATTAATAACATAGACATGTCCGGTGTAAAATGCTGTGATTTTGAAATACTTCCACTTGCAGAGCATTCACTTCTTGCTTTGAAAGGGCAAAATGACTTCAGTTTGGCAAATCAATGCACACTGGGATTGCCTTATCAGCAGAGCATTGCTGAGAAATCTCATCTGTAATTTCACGAGATCTCGGGGAAAGGCATTTTCTTCCCCTGAGATGATGTGCATGGTCACGTGTCCTAGTCACATGTGCCAGGAAGTGACAGGAGAGCTAGTAATCTGCCCTTAGTAAACATGTACACTGTCCGAAGACTGGGGAAGAAACGAGAAATTAAGATATGCAGAGAATACAAAGCCGGCAATTATGTAGAAGTATGTGTTTTATAGATTATCATTACTAAACATTTCTAATGGTGTTTTTTGTTATTTTAAAGATATGGCTAAGGGTCCACTTCTTTTTTTTTTTTTACTTTTGTATAAATAAAACTGAAATGGAATCTGTTTCTTTGTGTATATGTGTAAGTTACCATTGTAGCACCTGAAATATCCCTAAAAACAATCCTGCTTGTTTGGTGTTATTTATTAGGAGTAGAGGAAGGCTGGAACCCCTACCAGCTTTTTCCTACTTTCTCTGTCCTTGTGGCAGATTTTCCCTCATTTCTTGTTTGGAAAAATGGTTGCCACTGGAATATAAAGTAAGGTACAGGCTCTCTTACAGAGCACTGCATATCTGTAAAAACCTGTCGGGTTCTAATCTTTTCCTATTCAGTCCAATATTAATCAAAAAGGCTTGACGGGATATGCATCTAAATATATTGCTTAGTTGACTACCGAGAATAATGTAACTTTTTTTGTTTTGTTTCTAGGCTATCTGTACTGATGGTCGACTTTTCAACCATTTGGAGACCATTTGGCGCTTTAGTCCTGGCATCCCTGGCTATCCCCGTACCTGCACTGTAGACTTTTCGGTATGTGTTATTTCATAGTTCTAACCTTATTGTAAAGGGCAACACTGGTTTTATGTCGGGATAAATCTTGGCTGCCACTCTGGAGACTTTCTTTTCCCACAAAATAAGCAATGTAAAGGTGGCTGTACATTCCCAAATCCCACCCCTAATTTAACAGCCCAGTTTAATCTTCTTTCGCACATTGGGCCATTTAGGGTCACTCAAGGGGAATGCTAAGAAGTAATTTTGATGTCAGAAGTGTTTGCTGTTGTTCACAGAGATTCCTCATCTGTGAGACAGAACTGATCCCTCTCCTCTCATTGATAGATGTCAGAACATGAAAAGATTTGTAGCAAGTAGTGTGACGTTTACTTTTACAACATACCATGAATAGTGTTTTTAGGCCGCACAGACCTTGATAAAAGGGTCACCTTGATACAGAGGTTCTGCATGGCCCTGAAATGCCATAGGTGGTATTTAGGGATGCACCAATATCAGTATCTGTTATGGTTCTGATACTGGGCATTTTCATGAGTACTCGTAAAAATGGCCGGATACTAAGCGCTGATACCGGCACTTTAAATGTTTAAAGGAGAATTATGGGGTTAGGGCTTTGCCCCATAGTTCTCAGGGTAACGGGAGGACACAAACTAGCATCCTCCCATCACCCTAAGCTAAGTATACCGCCAGCTACAGCTCGCGGTATACTGAGACGACGCAGCTGAAGCGGATCCCGACAATTATGTCAGGATCCACCCAGCTGTGTGACAGCTGGCTCTGCCTATCTAGAGGCAGAGCCAGCTGTACTCGCCCCCTCCCCTGTCTGTTCCGCCAGTCAGCGCTGGAGGATCAGAGCGGGGAGGGGGGACTCCAGCCCCTCCTCTGTCACGGCAGAGAGCCGTGACAGGATCGAGAGGTGAGCGAACGCCGGTATGTGTTCGCTCACCTCCCAATCTACTGAGTCGACCTGTGACAGTCTCATTGTCACAGGTCGGCTAGAACTATGAGGTGAGTGAAAAGCACTCACTTCATAGTTCTCCTTTAAATACAGTCTGTATTTGCTGTAAGGTCTCGCGCTTTCTGTGGACCTTGCTGCGGCTGTTTACACTGCTGGCCCGCACATCTTCCACCTCCTTCTCCTTCCCGCCGCACTCAGCCACCTGCACAGCCCATGGTGAGACCCGCAAGATGCCCTGGTGAGACCCAGAGTTTATAACTTCATACTGTTCTACATTGCTGTATAATCTATTGCTGGTATTTGTAGCCCTCTATAGCTGATGGTATTATTCTGCATTGCTGTATAATGTATTTCTGAGATTTGTAGTTCGCTGTAGCTGGTGGTATTCTGTATTGCTGTATAATGTATTTCTGAGATTTGTAGTCCCTCTACACCTTGGAGTCAGTGTCGGAACTACCAGGGTTGCAGCGTTTGCAGCTGGGACTGGACCTTGGTGCTCCACCACTGTCCTAAAATCATTAGTCTATATTGTTTTGGAAATGTATCGGCGCGTACTTGAGGAAAAGGTTTGGTACTTGGTCTTGAAAATAAATGGTATCGGTGCATCCCTAGTGGTATGTTTTGAAAATAAAAAAAGGTTTCACAGTACTTGCTGCAGATCTTTTTGTATCTTGGAATCTATCTCTGATTGCATCTCCAATGCCATTGATGCCACATAGTCATTGTTCCTTTATGACCATGTGGTTATGTGCAGTGTGGACTTTTCTATTCTTTGTTCTTATTGACACGTGTGTACGCACCACGGGCAAGTCATATGTACTGGGACCAAGCCCAGTGTTCGAGGACTGGTAGATGTTTCCAAGCCTATGGTTTTTGAGATGTCATCTGCCCATTAATGACTAGCCTAACCTAAGGCCAGCAATGTATTAGTCGATCTTTCTTCAGACTTTCAAACTAAAATTGTAAACCTTTTGGTTCTTGCAGTGTCTGACCAGAATTTGTGTTTGCATATTATAATTTGCAAACCCCTAAACTGAGCCTAGACCTGATTGCATCAGTAGTAAAATTGACGCTGTTTACCTGTCAGTGCTGCAGAGAACAATGGTCGCGTTTAGTGCAGAGAAAGTTGTACTTGCGTCTTGCAGAACTCAGTCAGAATTGTCTGTACCAGCAGCAGTTTCTAAGCTTTCCCTCTTCCTGTTTTACATCAAAGGTGTTTTCCTCTGTTAGGCAAGGTTTATGTTTTAGTTGGTGCAACTTGTAGCCCCCCTGACTGCAGGGAGTTAAAATGCCCACCATTGCTTTCCCCTGCAGAATCTGTTGGGGGTCCTCTGAGAGGACTCTTGTCAGACACTCAGTCTCTACTTTCCTTAGAGGAGTAGACTCTGCCAGCCAAAGTTCAGTCAGCTGTCTCGCCTAAAAAACAGAAGGAAATGGTAGCCTTTCTAATGGAGGCTGTGCAATCCACTTTTGCAGCCAAATTTGAGAAAACCCCTGTAATGTTAGTGTTCCTATTTACATAGCTTACCTAAAAACTCTTTTATAAAAAATGTTTCTTACCTTTTGAATGTCTGTATTTTGCAGGCCATTGCAACCTTCTCTCTCAATTCCAGTAACGGTATTTCTATTAGGACAGACAGTTTCCGAAGGACAGACTGAGCTCCCTGCCATTAACATGCAATGTCTCAGGGCCCGCATCTGGTTTACAAGTGATAATGAAAACTGACAGTACAGACGGTTCAATATTTGAAACAAAACTCCCCCCATACAGAACTAAGCAGGATTTTTCAGTCCTGGAGTTAGCATTAAGAACATCTAATAAGGGAAGCTGCAACTTTTATATATATTTTTTAAAGTTATGTGTTGAGAAACTAAACCTGTAACAAATATAAAGTAGATGCTAATCCAATTTGGCTGCAAAAGTCGAAATACACCATCGTTCCTTCGCCTGGTATTCTGCTTGCTTTGACGTCAGCCTGGTATTGCTATTGCTAAGCCTATGGTCCACCAGGACCCCCAACTCTTTTTCCATCACTGATTCTCCCAGTGTAACCCCTCCTAATATCGTTCCTGCAAGTTTTTAGCACCCTAATGCATAACGTTCCAATTTTCAATGTTAAACCTCATCTGCCAAATCTCCACCCATTCACGTCATTTTATTCAGATCTTCCTGTAATGTTACTACATCCTGTACTGTAGTTATTTCCCGGCATAATTTTGGATCATGCGCAAATACAGAAATTGATATCTGAATTCCAAACTCAAAGTCATTTATAAACAAGTTATGTCCCCAAGATAGATCACTGGGACACACAGCATGCGCCACCTTAGCTCATTCAGAGGCTGAGTCATTTACCACTGTTATCTGAACCAGTTCCCCAAGCCAGGGTTCTGTCCATTTACACACTCTTGCCTCTTCCTCATGGTTCTTCATTTACAAATGAAGGGTTTGTGGGGTATAGTGTCACATGGCTTTGGAATACTTGGATAAATCATGTCTACTGCCCTTCTATGTAGGTTACTGCTTACTTCCTCCTAGAATGTTAACAGTTTGGTCTGACAAGAGCAGTCCTTCTTCAATTGATGCTGATTGTTACTTATTCCTAGAAGGGAATACTCTGATTCAGTGTTGCAGCAAGTTTGGCACACTAGGGTTACAGGACACTAATCCTGTTTGGCACATAGGGTTACTTGGGTCATTGAGGTGTTCTGTAAGTATCCTGTCGGTCAGATCTTGCTTCAAGTCTTTATTTGGTTAAGAACAATTAAGCTTCCTGAGTTTCAATCCTGGAAAAGGTTTATTAGACATTTCATGGCTGAGAGAATGCAGGAACGTTTCTGCTGAACCTATAAATAGCACACATAATAAGCAGCAAAAGGGAAGCAGGGGTAGAGAATCTCTATATTCAGCAATAAGTCTACCGTTGGCACTGCAAGCTGTCATGAGAGGATGGTTTGGAGTGGAGTCCTCTTATATCTGGTGTACTGCATGTAGGAGATGCTTCACACTGAAACCAACCTTTTGCTTGGATGCATCCCATTATTTCTGAAATTGGTCAATAAATCTGAAGAGGTCTAAGTACTATCCCATGAAAGTGGAGTTCTTGTGTCCTTCCTCTTTGAAAGAATCCTGCGATCAGAGACCAGATTAAGAAAGTATAATCCAGAGACTGGATGTTTTGAAAGCTACTGGACATGTCTTCTTAAAGTTCTTCTGTATGATGGCCATAAAACTGGCCCATTTCTGGGACTGGCACTGTTCAACTATAAACTAAGGTATGGGTGACTCTCCACAAAGCATGAAGACATCTAGGAGGTCAGAAAGTGTAGATTTGTACCAGGATCACAAGCACTGCACAACTCCTTTCATTAGGATGGTGCATGGAACAACATGCATAAACATGACTGTCATGATCTTATGCTGTGGGGCAGAATTCCATCTCTGTACTTATCCTGTACGCGCATTCTTAATAAAGCAGAGAAACTTTTGTGCTGCTATCTCCTCCACTTAGTATATTAGATCCCTCTATGTTAAAGTATATCCCATCATCCACAGTAGGGCCTTTAGGCAGAGATGGTTATTAATCCTATCAAATGTCTTGTGTTAAACTCTGAGAATTTAAATAAAATAGACTAAGATGATTCTAACTGCCTTGTTATTGGCCCAAGAGGCAGGTATAATACTTTTGTGTTACTACGCTGACCTTTTGTTAGCCACTGATCTCATCAGACCTCCTTCACTTCTGGATGATATGAGAAAACTGGTGATCTGATTTAGGATTTACTTCAATATGTGTTCTTCTTTTTATCCTTGGAATTCAGCCAGGGTCTCTGCAGATTTCTGCTTCTCTTCTGCGCTTTTTGCCTAATCCTACAGTATATTATTTTCTGTTGTTGTTAGGGAGTACTCTTACTCTCCCAAATGCTCCGATACCTTCCCCGATACCGGAACTTCCGGTCAGAGGGAGATTTCCCCTGACCATAAATGCAGCAAGGGAACATGGAGCTGGTTTCCAGGCCAATCAGGAAGCTGGCCGGTGGGTAATGACTTGCTGCCGGCTTCCTGATTAGCTGTGCAGGTTTTTAGCGATGTACAGTTTATTAAGGATTGATTGAGGCAATAGCCTTTGTGTAGCAGCTTTTAACCTCTGTTTCTTGATTGACTTCCATTAGCGCAGATTAATTGACTACCAATCCGCATCGAGCTGGCCAAACGGCATAAAGCCGATCAGGTAGCCTGGCAGCGGGTAATGACCAGTCTCCCGGCTTCCTGATTGCCTGGGAAGCCGGCTTCCTGGCCAATCAACATGGAGCTTTCCAGGTAATCAAGAAGCAAGGCATCGCCGCCCGGCTTCCTGATTGCCCGGGAAGCCAGCTCCATGCTAGCGGAAGTACAGTTATCCATACTTGGTATCAGCGAGTACCAGAATATAAATATCGGTACTCGTACTTGATGCCGAAAATCTAGTATCGGTGCATCCCTAGTTGTTGCAGCAGATTAGACTGTGTTTAACTGCCTGTTGATCAATCAGGCTGTCAGTCAGTTTGTTTTATCTTGGATATTGAAAGTTTACATTTCCTAAAAGAAATCAAAGGCCTGCCATCACTGACCTCCTTATGAAATTGCCAATTACCTTGTCATTCTGACCCACTACTAAAAATATTTCTGCTTTACTGGCCAGTAAGAAGTATGCAGGTAGTCATACTTGTTTCACACATTTTACGAATATTAAAACAAAAGTGTAACAGCCAGGCAACTAGGATTTCTGGAGTAAAAATGTATAGCTGTTGGTTACCAGTCCTTGCAGCTCCTGTGCCGGTCATCTGGTAATCTAGGATCCCTTTTGCTTATCTGTGTGTAAGGGTTAATCACAAACTCATCCCCTTCAAGCTTTTTCTCTTATATGCAGAATGCCTGACAAAATACATTTCTCACAGCCACCAGTCACATTCAAACCTGCCTTGAAAGTCTGAATTTTATTGGTGACTCATTAAGCCTAGTGTGGTTGTCAGCGCGTCTCCCTTTCCCACATCGCTGTCTGATCACACAACTAGCAAGGAGATGAATAGACCAGCGTCATCACTAGGGACGCAGGGGGAGGGGGCATGTGGGATTCCCTTTTCCACTCCCTCTTGCTGTTCATTGGTGCTAGGATGCTGGTGGCCGGGCCACACAGTGTCACTGGTTGTTATGGTGCAGGGGGCCTGGTCTATTCATGTAGAAGTGTGGACATGGATTAAAAGAAACAGAACTTTTGTTAGTAATGTCCATTTTCATTTGTGAAATGGAATGTACTATATATCATTAGATGATCTTTGAGTGATGTGCACACAATAAATACTGTGTAGACCCGGGTCATAGTGCCCATAAAATGACTAAAGCTGGCCATTATCGATTATTTGTTTCATGCCCTCACCGTCGTTAGATTTCCACTCGAATACCCCATCAAGCACATACCAATGTCGATTTTTTGATTATTGTTCGTTAGCAATAGTAACTGACCGAATTTTGTCGATTTGACAGTACGGATTTTCGTTTGCGCATGTGCAGTGTTCATGTTGCAATTTCTTTCATACGATTTGAAAAATGTTTTCCAGCCTGATCGATCGACGAAATTTAGCCAGGAGTACAGTGAAAAAAAACCTTCGGTTCCCATCAGCTGACCGATTATCGTTCGAAAGACCATTTGTGGATGATTTCCGAACAATAATAGATAGGTGTATGGGCACCTGAAGGGGGTGAAAAGAGGAATTTGGTGGCGGCCCTGCAGCTGACACACCACTACCCCAAGTGCACTCACTGAACAGGGGGTGGCAACTGAGCTCAACTGTAGTAAAGGCCACAAATTGTGCTTCTATAAGGGGAGGAGTTTGTCTTGACCTTTCAGTACGGTTTTATTGAAGAGGCTAGTGACAGATATTTAGAGAGGAATGTATTGACCTATTTAGGGTTTTTAGTGCTCATTAGTTTTCCTAATAATAATTACAATCACTGTCACAAGTTCAGACCTTGTACATGTGAGCAACAAAAATAATTGTGCATTCCTGCTTTGTACCAAGTGTCTTATGGAACCTTGTGTTTGCAAAGGTCTATTGAAGCATTTATGTCATCAGCCTGTACCTGGTTCTGATAAGTCTGCACTGCAATCTGGGTCTCCGATGCTTTCCTCATGAACATCTGCATCCACCGCACCTACCTACTAAAGATACTTGCTAGTGAATGGGCTTGGCCTTATTCTCATAAATAAGCAATCTTTGATAAGGTGATCACGTTTGGTTGCTGTGTATTGTGAATGATCATTGCCCTTTGCATGTTCATAATTATCCTAAATGTTTTTATTATAAAAATCAGGTGAATCTCAAAACTCTTTCTTTAAATCTTTCAGATATCCTTTGAGTTTCGTTCTTTGCTGCATTCCCAGCTGGCCACCGTCTTTTTTGATGAAGTCGTGAAGCAGATGGTTGCGGCATTTGAGAGGCGGGCAGGGAAGACTTATGGTCCAGAAACGCCAATACCCCGTGAGCTCATGTTTCACGAAATCCATCAAACGTGATGACCACATACTGGCTACACTGCAAAGGGAGAGACCGTGACAGGACATCCAACCAACCCAGCCAACCCAAAGTCCACATAATGTATATTGAACATGAGTCTCAAAACTTTGTGCACTCACTGGGACTTGAGAGCTCAGAACCACACCTAGGTTTATTTTTTGTTGTTTATTTTTTAAACAAATATTTATTTAATTTCACATCTGATAGTGCTGAAAAATATATGTATAAGTTATCATCTGTGTCCAGTGGGAGGAGTGAGGTGGGCACGCTGCAGCGGCGGAGGAGGAGGGTATTTTATGTGTGTTCTTTTATTTTGACTTCAAATCTCCAGTATATCTGAGAAGGGGCGATGTAGTTGTTGGTGAAATGACTTTTCTCCTCCTATCCTAACACGGCACACTTTAGGAGAGCAGGGCTATATGCACACTATGGTAGTCGTTTTATGTTTCTGCAGTGCAGCATTCAGGTTTACCTGCCAAGTGCACTGCTAGTAGCCTTAATCAGCTTGTTCACATAGCACCTCCATGCCCGCTCTGGTGCATATCATGGAATTTTATTAATTTGGATCTGTCTTGGCCCCCCTTGAATCTTGAGATTAAAAGGCATAGCGAGTGCATTTACAATCTTCCACCTACTTTGCAATAGTTCATAATATACTTGCACAATTATCCCTTAAAAAGTGCTCTTGAGTCTTTAAACTACTGTAATTGGATTATTTTGAAAGGAAGTGAGTGTGCATGGTGGCTGTACCCTATACCAGATACAAACTGCAGTAACACAGGGATGTAATACACTGTGACTGGTATCCCCCCCTCTGTAAGACAATCTATGCAATAGGGTGCTATAACTGTAGGGTGCCACATGCTGGGGGAGGCATGGGAGCCTTTGTGCCAAATGGACTGTTTCAGCTATGGTGCTGGACTAGATTAGTAGAGATAGCCTGCCACACCCCAATACTGTACAGTCTGGGGCCTGCAGATGGAATCCAGTTGGGATTGGGGACTTCAAAACTTGCTGCAAAATGATTATACCTAAACCGAGGATTTGGTGCCCTGTGTTATGATTGTGATGCTGTAAATGTTAGGGTATGATTGTATACATGCATGCTGAGGTACAGTGATCACATTGGATTCATGGAAACAAAACATTCACCTTGGACTTAAAAGGCATAAATGAAGATGGAAAGCTGTGTGTGATTGTGGCAAAGCTGTTTACAAAGGAGTGCAATACTGCCCATCCACCTCCTGGTGCTGCCTGAGCATACAGCTTGCAGAATGAAAGCATCATCCTGGAAATAATGGTTCTTGGGAATGTTCTTCCTGTATAGTGGCAAGGCTGACTAAGCAACATGGTGGAGAACTTCTGATGTTTGTTTTAGAAAGCGGTGACGCTCGGTTGCCTTGTCCTAGGTGCAAGGAGAGAACAGGGACCACTTGTCTACATTTATTCTGCCTGAAGCCTCTCACTCCCTGATTATAGCAGAGGTGGTGTCTGCTTTTAATGTGATGACACGTCCAGCCATGTCCTTGTGAGACATATGCTGGCTCTTCTTCACCTCCAGCATATGTGCCACTGTCCTTTTATTCCTGTCATATTTAGTTAATGGAATGTCTGCTTACCGGTAATAGAGCTATAAAAACAAACCAACAACAGGGACAAGCATCAATAAAATGTTTGGAAAAAATGACGCGTTTCTTTATATTGCCAAAATAAAACTAACAAGCCCAGCTCCAGCTCTATCAGAGAGCTCAAACGGTAACTGTCTTGGGGATATCAGATTGGGGCCATTTATACCTTTTGCATGTGTTAATGAATGTCTGTCTTTTTTTGGTTTATTAGGGAGGTGCTTTGCCCTTTAGCAGCATGCTAGTATTAAATGGGCCTCAATGGATGGAGAGAACGCACCCACACTCATTTTACGAACACTGACTAGTCACGCTAGGTGTGTTTTGCATTTGAACGGAATATACAGGTGAAACTCGAATAATTAGAATATCGTGCAAAGTTCATTTATTTCACTAATGCAACTTAAAAGGTGAAACTAATATATGAGATAGACTCATTACATGCAAAGCAAGATGATTCAAGCCGTGGTCTTCCATAACACCTCAGCAGTGCCACAGGCTGATGGCTTCCATGCCACGCTGCATTGAGGCAGTAATTGCTGCAAAAGGGGCCCAAACCAAGTACTGAGTACATATGCATGCTTGTACTTTTCAGAGGTCCGATATTGTTCTATGTACAATCCTTGTTTTATTGATTGCATGTAATATTCTAATTTTCTGAGATTGTGGATTTGGGGTTTTCATGAGCTGTAAGCCATAATCATCACAATTATGACAAATCACGGCTTGAATTATCTTGCTTTGCATGTAATGAGTCTATCTCATATATTAGTTTCACCTTTTAAGTTGCATTAGTGAAATAAATGAACTTTTGCACGATATTCTAATTATTTGAGTTTCACCTGTACGTGTGCAGTGCTGCAAGTGTGAATCTGCCCTAAATCAGTTGTCATAACCTGGCCCTCTTATAGGGGTACTTATACTTACCTTCATAGCATATGATGCAAAAAGAACTGAGGGAGCAGTGATAACAGTTTACTAAATGAAGCGGTACAAGCAGTGCTGATGTGGCTTTGCACTGATCCCTTTAAAATAGAAATGTCAGCATTACCTGCAGTTAGTCCTCACTTAGCCGTCATCGCAGAGTGCTTCAAGTTAAACTGGCCATACACTGTACTATAAAGATGTCACAGATTCATCTATCAATGGCAAGCCACGTGGATGGAGGAATCTCCAGCTGTTTCCAATGTATTCTGACTGCGGCAGAATACCTGAACTGTGCCTTGCAGCTGATTTGCCTGTCAGTGCCATTCGGCCGAAGATTTTCAGTTCAGCTCCTTCAATCTTCTGATGGTGATGCCGGATGCTGACAGGGGCACCCACTATGCAAATTGTGGGACGCTTTATCAAGAACGGGCTGAAAGTCGCATAGTGTATGGCCAGCTGAGCACATCTCATTATTCAAAGCACAACATGTACAACTAATGGGATCCAGAACCTGACATACTTCCGAAATATCTGGTTTCTAAATGAATTTGTTCATGTTCAGATTTCACTGAGATCCCTCTGGCAATTATTAGCATTGTTGTCTCTTGTATGTGTAACAATCTTCTATTTTATACACACTGTCCAGAAGTCCCAGTTGTACTATTTTTATGGACTGGAGCTGAGCTTTATCTTATGAGTGTTCCCATAAAGGCCTTGCTACACTGACCACATCACCGTGCTGATGTCCCACCAATAGGAGACAGCATGATCGTACTAATGGCAAAATTGTCACTAAGTTATAGGGAACACGGATATACACTGAGTGGCCAGATTATGACCACCTGACGTTTGTAGGCAAATTAGCTATAATTTTGCGCTGAAGCTGCTAGAGGGCCAGACAATTATAAATAAAGAAGCAGGTTGTTTACCATGGCAGTAGAAGTGACTTTTTTTCTGAAGATACGGGTAAACAACGCAATTTAACAGCCTTTGAATGTGGGATGATTGTTGGCGCTCGGAGCCATGGAGCGAGTATCACAAAACAGCAGAATTCGTTAAATGTTCAAGAGCAGCTGTTGTTAAAGTGTTTAAAGACTGGACTGTCAGTCGAAAATCTGGGTCTGAACGTGCGAATTGTGGCCGTCAGCGACTAGTCAATGTTAGGGCAGAACGGAGAGTGGCAAGACTGGTACAAGGCAACAGAAGGGCAACAGTGCAGTGTCAGATTCCTCGCATCACCTTTCAACATCTTGTGGAGTCACAAGGCGGCCCAACGAAGTCATCTCGTGGAGTCATCTCGTGGCCCAACGAAGTACTGATGGGGTGGTCATAATAATCTGGCCACTCAGTGTGTGTGTGTACATATATGTATTAGTAACACACACACACACACACACACACACACACACGTATGGACCGTCCCTTCACATTTTGATTTCTAAATGACTCCTAGAAAACCTTCCCTACGATCTGGGATAAAGAGGTGGCAGTGGGACAAAGGTAAGGTATTTGCAGAAGAGCACTTGGCTCATACATGACTGCCCAGTGCCGGTACGGGGGAGCACTGAAACTATACTTAGATCTCAAAGTACGTGTACTGAAGGACGTACTGTACAGAAACATGATATCAGGCAAACGGAGGGGAAAGTCATGCGGCAGCTTAGACCATTCTGAACATTTCTGTCTGGTTAAGTTCCATTAAAGACAGTCCACCTTACACTATTCAGTAAAACTATCCACAGAAAACATGCAAAACTGATGTTCCTGAGGTCCCAAGTTAAAATTGCTGATTATTATCAATTGTTTCTTGAAAGAAGTATATTTTATTTAAAAAGAAAAAAGTTTGGCTCACTTTTAAACCTACCAGGTCTGTAGTACCCGTTCCCTGGCAAATGTGGCAGAATGATTGTCATTCCCCTATGGGGTTTTGCACCCAGTGGTTCCAACATGCCACCTCTGGTATTAGAGGGGACCCCCAGTCAGCACCTGTAAGAATATAGGCACTTGCTTGCACACCAGTTACAACATATACAGGTAAAAGGACCTGTACTGAGAGAAGGCAGCTTTGCTGACCTGTCTCTGAAAATGCTAGTTGCCTGGCTGTCAAACTGGTCTAAATGCTTCCATGCATTGTTTCACTGACCTGGATTAAACAAGCAGCTCATACTCCTTCTCCCCCCCAGTGAAGGACTACAAAAGCACAGAAGCTTCATCAAATGAATATGATGGCGAGACATTTTAGAAGAGGTGGTGAGAAACGGCAGCTTTCATCAGCACAAGGTTTTCGGCTCATAGCAGCGTTCATACTTGGTGGTGCTTTGTAATCCTCTTGTATGTTTTAAACGCATTTTGCAAGAAACTGCCTCAAAGAAACAGCAAGCGCTGGCCCTAAAATGTGCAGATCTGGACAGTTTCTGATTCTTGATGAGGAAGAGTCTTTGTTGGAGGGAATTGTGTGTATGCAATGGTGGCCTTTGCAGAAACATGGTATGACCCTAATACAGGTTTCATATCTTGCAATGAGGCTAAATCTTTATGGAACACTTTTCTTTCAAACAACAAATCCAAAAATATGAGAATTGGGTGAATAACTCCAATATTACTATATTTTGCTATTGAAGCCTTGTTTTTATAGCCCTGTAATCATCTTATTTTGTCTGGTATGCACTGCAACGCATGGAACTGCATCAAAATGCATGCAAACACACGTGACAACACCTGAAAGCCCATTTTGAGCTGGAAAAACCCAGCTCCAGAACGTGGCAAAATCATGCTAAAAACACAGGAAAAAAAATCTATTCCAGATCTGGTCTGGAAAAATGTTGTGAGCCTGCCTTAAAACCATGTTAGATCGGTCTGGGCCTGTAATGACAGCGATTGGGAGGGGGGAAGTACATTTGTAACTTTGCTGTCCCTGTGTGTAATAAAAGTTTAGTGAAGGAGGAAGAGAGTTATTTATCAAAATTGGAGAAGGCAGAATCTGTAGCAGTTGCTCATAGTAAGCCATCGGCTTCTCTCCAGTTTGTTGAGCTAAGCTTTAAAAATAAAACAAGCTGATTGGTAACCATGGGCAACTGCTCCAGTTTTGATAAATTCCCTTCACTGTGTTTTAAAAGTACAGTGCATGTATTTATAAATGTTGCAGCAATGGCTATTTGCACTATACATCACGTGAAAGACTATCATGGCCCTTAACCCTTTCCCTGCCACCGATGGAAGGCTTACGGCGGTACACAACTGTTTCCAGCTGGCCAGCTCAGTAAGCCTTATATCGGTGACTTTCTTCCTTCTGATATAAGTTCATGGTCACTAAAGCAACCATGAGCTTATAGCAGAACGGTTCCCCCGATGGCCCCCTTTGAAATAATACCTGTCATCAGCAGCTGAGGAGCCACTGATGACAGCTATTAACTCAAAATCCCCCGCCCGCCGGCATCCGTCACCTTCTCCCCCTGCCTGGAGCCGCTCCATGCTTCTTGGATCCCCGCTGCTCTCCCACGCTTGTATGGGCGAAGGAATCTGAGGATAAATAGCCGGCGAGCCACTCGATCACGGTGATCGAATGGCATGAGAGCAGCCGCTGTCATCCTGTCAGTTTCCGGATGACAGCGGCTGTGTGCGTGGCTGAGCGGAGGATCCTTAAATATCTGTGATATTTACCAATCCTCTGTGTGAAGGACAAACACTGGAGTGATCGTCTGTCACTCCAATGTTTGTAAATAACTGGGGACACATAGTACTATGTGTCCCCAGTTATGAATAAACAGGATGTGATTTACATCACTTCCTGTTCATTCATGAATTTCTGAATGGGGAGTAGCACTCACTACAGAGGCTTCTACCCATTCTGTGTCCTCAATTTCATTTCCAAAAAGGAAATGTCAGGGGTCTGTTTAGACCCCAGATATTTCCCCGAAAGGGTTAAAGGATAAGTTTACTTTCTCACAAAATGTGAGAAAATGAGCTTACCGCCCCCACCTCTCCTGGCCCCTGCTGCACATACCTGGGTGATCCCAACCAGCCAGTGTAGGGTCACAGTCCCCAGTATGTAATTAGCATAATGCTCACAAATGACGAGCACTCACAGGTTAGGACAGTCACATGACAACACTGACCAATGAGAATCGATTTACATCCGAGACCTGGTCCCCAGCTCAGAAGCATTTGTCAGTGTTCTCATGTGATTGTGCTGACCAATGAGTGCCTGCCAGTTGCGAGTGTTATGTGCATTACTGACTGCAAGGCGGATAAGTGCCATGTATGGACTGCACACCGGCATGTGCAGTGGGGGGCCGGGAGAGGTGGTGTTGGTAAGTCTCCAATTGAAGTCTTCTGTCCTAGAAAAACAGGAAAGGTAAGAAAAGACGCAACAATGCAGAGTAGTCCAATGAAGTGAAATGTTCAGTTATCCTAGAAGAACAGTGTATGTTATATCGCATTATAGGAACATATAGAAATGTCCTGCCACATGTTCATGGTCTATATGAAAAGGTCATTAAGGATTTGCACATGCGGACTGTAGTTAATAAAAACATTTATTTTGCATTCATACAGAACAACCTTAAGTCTATTGTGAATCGGAACATCTGTAATCTGCACAGTCTTTGCCTGCACAAACAAGAAGGGCTGGAAAAAAATAATCACGCAGTTAGAAGGTGGTGGAGGAGTGTATTTTATAGAGCCAAGTCTTATTAATTCCCTTTCTTTTTGTATGCTTATGGGTGAAAAAAAGTGCTGCCGAGGAGGATGGCTTTAACAGACTAGTATCACACGGTGTGGGACAGCTCCTTGTGATGTCAGTTACCTGGAAGGAATGGGTTGCATGTTAAATACTGCCAAAAGAAATGGCAACCTGATTGCCAAAGACAACTACACCCAACTGCTGCAAAACCAAACAGGACTCTTGTGGGTGTGCATCTAAAATCAAGTTTTTCAAAAAAGTGTGTACAATTTTACATTGTAGCTCTATGCAGCCCCTAAAAAAACTAAAACGGGGCTCAGCACTGCGCTGTGCCGAGGAAGCACATACAAGAAAAAAAGCTACTTAAAAAAAAAAAGCTAAGAAACAGCATATTGTAAACGCAGTCATCTCAGTCACAGTGGCTTTACCTTAACATACAAAATAAACAGAAATGCTGCTCACACATTCAATGACATGACAGGTACTCTAGAGGCATAGGCAGGAATCTATACATAAAAAAACAGCTGAAATAAAAGCTTTACAAGGGACACCAAATCCAGGAATAAAAGCTGCGCATACTCTCAGCAAGTGTTGCTGCTGGACAGTTCCTGGTCATTTAGTGAAGTCGGCTGGGAACATTCCTTCGTATAATAAAACCAATAAAACAAAATAAAAATTCCCAGAAAAGCAGCCAGCAGGGAGTCAGAGATACCCGTGACATAAATGCATGATTCCGCTTCCATATATGTGTGATAAAGATATGCCTCAGATAGGTTGCTTTACAAAAGACCACACACACACACTTGTGTGGCATCAGTGTTATGTATGATCTGTGGTTGCTGGTGGTAGCATGTGTATTCCTTTGTAAATACTGGATAAAACAGTGACGTTAGGGTGTCACAGGGATTCTAAATGAAACCACCCTATGCTATGCCAATTGCATGGTCTCTGCTTTGTCACAGTTTTGTAGGAACTTAGAAACCTAAAGAAAAAGGTTGCATTCTGTGTTCTATACAGAACTGTAGCCGGTTTATAAATAAGTAAAATGTAGGGTGCTAACAACAACTAGTGTGACTGAAATCATTAGTCTGATCCCTACCGGCAGCACAAGAACCCTTTCCTGATGGAGAATGAAGTTGGGCTTCTCCAACAGGGAAGGGAAGTACAGTGTTGAGGAAATGACATGTTTCAGCATAAATAACAACCAGAAGTGTTTTCTTGTCAGCGCTCAGGAGACGATTGGGATGCAAAGCAGTCTGTAGAAACAAAATGTGTACTGTCTTTTGATTGGCTCTTCTCCGGGATAGGGGAAGCCCTCTTATTTTTCTCTTTTTCTTCTTTTAGCCAGACTTTGCCTTAACAAGCTGCATAAGGCCGTCTGTGCTCAAGGATTTGGGCCTCTCCAGTGGAAATCCGAGCGCCCGGCTCCAGATGAGCTGAGATAGAACCCCCAGTGCTCGTGACACTCCGAAGAGGACAGTGTAGTAATTCATTTCCTTCATTCCATAATACTGCAAAGAATAACATACATTAGATACAAATCTGGTTTACAAAAGAAGCCGAGCAAATGTTCTAGATCCAGCAATTTTACAACCTGATTATGGCTAGTTTCCAGGTATTGTATACTGGGAACAACTAACATGGACTCGTCTACATTAGATTCTTCACTGCTGTAACACAAAGGTGAATCCACCTTCTGCAACAACTTTATAACACTAGCTGGACACTGTTTACAAAGAACTTAATGGAATAGTCCACCATTTGGAAAAAAAATTGTACGCACACATTAATAAAAGACAAAAAAGTGAATTTATTAAATTCTCTGCATTTGAGCCTCTAAAGCATTACGAATACAATGCACGGGCTCCTGCAGACTATTCCCCCAGCTCCATGTCTGTACAGTACAGACCTTCATTCATGGAGGAAGTAAGCAATGTATCGTCACTGCACTTGTGCTGCATTGAGATCTATGCGTACCTCTGCTGTGGTTTCACAACAGCGGGGTACGGGGTGCTTTGGAGAAGCTGAATACTGTGACCATGTTTTATGTTACACCCTAAATATGGGTGTAACATGAAACATGGTCTGAAGGTTAAACTTTCAGGTCTGTTCACAAAAGGGTGAAGAGTTTGGAGAAGTGAACAATCTCAGGCAACATTCTCCAGTTCAGCTCCCTTTGCAGGTCAACTATGTTGTTCTAGATTGGTCACTTCTCCTGCCTTCTCCAAACTCTTCACCCGTTAGACTTTAAGTACAACTACAACAGCTATATAGAAGTCTCTGCAGTTCTGAATACAACAGAAACAGATTTCACTAGTGGCGCTGTATGCGTTTAAAATCTCCCCGTGGCTGGATAGGGGTAAGGGCAATTCAGGTTTCTACACAGATTGGTCACAAACAAAGAGAAACTCCCCCTTTAGGTTGCAGATACTCGTTTTATGTCTTACAGCTGATGTGCACGGAAATCTTCAGGGTAGATGATGATTCTCTAAACTCTGAAGATACCAAATAGGCTGTTTACAGATGCACATGTTGCACGCAGAAAGAGCTGAGCTCAGAGGGGCTGCAACATACAAACTCTGGTCTAAACAAAAACTCTCCTGTAGTCTGGAATGAGGAGTCAAGATCTCTAAATATAGACTATTCATCTCGTCTCCCGTTCTGAAGCAGACTAGGCGGTCAATATGCCAATAAATGGACATACTAAAGACATCAAGAATCATGTCATCTGTGCCCTCATATTGTAAGGTCACTGGGAGTCCCTTCCCTACCACAGCCTGCACAATACATTAAACTAAGTAAAGTAAACTCCATAGATTTCCATGAAGCCCAGCTTTTCTTGGATGAGTCCTTCCCCACTACTGATCCAAGAAGAAAAGCATTTTGGCCATAGGTATACTTGAAAGCTACAATGCAACTTATAACATTTGGAGCTTTTGCCATAATGTGCGAGTATGCTCAGGAATCTGACACTCACGGAAGGACAGACAGGTAACAGTGCGGCTTCTTTGCAGGAACCGTTTGTTTTGAATGTTTAAATGATGGTCTTAACATTACTGAATGGGAGTTCTTTACAGCTTCCCCAAAATCTTCAATGCATTGACGTCACATGACTTATGAGTATCCAGCCTCCAGTTCTCCAATGGAGTATGGCTCATGCATAGAAATGAATGGGGCTGTGGCAAGCAGAGGACCCAGCTGGGATGATTATTTGGCAAAGGCTGTGAAGCATCAGGTAGAGCCGCACAGTAAAGTTTGCTAGAGCAGGGAGGAAGTCATTTTACCAGGACAACCATACTAACAATACACATTGTTGGGCTCCCAGGAGCTTTTGCCATAACGTTCAGGATGTTCGCACATTATGACAGACTTGCGTTGCAAAGTGTCGGCCCTCAGTGATGCAACGGCCGTAGTCCTCTTCCCGACGCTTTCAAATATGCCCTATATTCTTCTGAGTTTGGATTCTTTAAATGTCGTGATTGGCTGGGCCGCAAGGATGCAAATCCCATGCATGCAAGTTTCTTTGCCTTGGCACAAAAATGTGCTGACCCTATACCCCACGCTGCATAGAAGATTTCAGTTAGTTACTCTTTTTAAAAAAAAAAAAAAACCCCTCTTGGTTTAACCTCATCTCTGTCTGAGCCATATTTTGCACACGTTAAATGCACATTTCACTTAAAACCCGTCAAACATTTTAAATTTCTTTTAAAACGGAGACCCTGTACAATAAAACAGTGGAAGTTGCACTTTTTTTTATGTCACAACATAAAAAAGGTTGAAGGTTTATATTTTCATACATTCAAATTAGTTTTAGAGCACAAACACACAATAACAAATGTATTGGTATAATGCAAAAGATGAGTTTATACCGAGTACATAGATACCAAATTTGTTGCGCCCCAAAGCTGTGTGTACCTGTGAAACAGCGAAAAACTACGGCAATCAAAAATTGTCCATAGGCCACACTTTCAAAGCCTTCACAGCTCCCCAATTTAGAGTCAACTGTGAATGATGGTCCGAGATTTACTGCTCTGTGTGCACAGTGATACAAAATATGCGTGGCGCAATCATCAATTGTCATATGTCTCTGACCTGCGTGTTTGCATGTGTGAGAGGGGCTTTTTTTAAAAACCCCAAAACAATTTTTTAACCAAGTTAAAAAAGATCTCCCCGAGTTCCATGCAAAGTATCATTTTAAGTTCCCTAAATATTAGGTCTCTATTGCTTTGCCTAATGTTCCGTATTTTCATGCTTAAAGGAAAGGAGAGCAGAGTGATGACCTAATCAGTGTGCCGCTGATCCTTCTTTGTCCATTCACAGGTTAGCATAGGTCCTGAAGTAGGCTATCCTTTGTCAACCCAACAGCTAATGAGTTCATGTATATATGTAGTTGCCTTGCCTGCAGGTCAGCTTTAAAAAGGTGGTGATCACTACATACATTTGATGTACAATGGCACTTGCTCGTGTCACATATAGGAAATGGCCATGGGAAACGGTCATAAGAAAGCAGCAAACTTAGCTCAATCTTACCTGTAGAAGGACTCCACTATGAGCGTCCACATTGGGCCAGGGGTTCTTGGCTTTGCCCTGCTCCAGTAACACATTGGGTACAATCTTGTAGAGTTGAGCCACTAATTTGAACATTGAATCGTTAGGAAGGTGTTTCAAAGCAAATTCTCTTTGACATGTGTAACGTGGGTCTGTCTTTCTGAGCACAGCATGACCATATCCAGGTACCACCTGTCAGAAAACCAGATTAGATGCAGGAAACAGATTACACTGGATATAGAATAGAGATGGAATGTGTACAAACCCTTCCAGAATTGAGGGTGTTCCAGATGTAGTCTCTCAGCTGCTCATCGGACACTTCACCACCCAAGTCCTTCTGTAGGGCTGTTAGCCAAACCAGCACCTCCTGAAAAGAAGAGCAGACAAGGGATGGAAACAATGCTCAAGCCAGCATTTTACCTAATGCAGATCGTAGAGGCTCTCAGGCATACCTGATTGGCCAGTCCATGCAGGGGACCTGCCAGTCCATTCATGGCAGCAGCAAAGGAGAGGTAGGGATCAGACAAAGCACTGCCCACCAAATGGCTGGTGTGTGCACTAACATTGCCTCCTTCATGGTCACTGCAATGAGAAGGTCAGAGAAGTCAGGCAATACCTTCCATTAATCCATTCCTAGCTAGTTTCACAGTGTAACATACTTTTTAAGCAATGGTGAATGCGGCCCATAGCTATTACAGTTAGAACTTTAGAGAAGTCAGAACAATGGAAGTTCACTGTTGATTTCTGTTTGCAATGATCAGTTCCTATATTTTGACATCAAGCTTTTTCATGTCCAAAAAAACAAAACCCTTTACCTCAATAATTTTAATGGTATGATGCAAGATTCTAACTAAAACAAGTCAACTGTATGAAGCCTGGTCAGTCATCTGAGACCAGCCACACTGAGACAAGCTGGCTGTTAGGGAAGGTGCCGTCTTATATCTACAACCGCACTTCCCCTTACAATCAGTCCAACTAAACAAAGAGATTTGTAGAAAAAAAAGACTCGGATCACAAAAAACATCATCAATCTGATGGAAATGAATGAGCAGAGTTCTAAAACACTAAATCTCCTGTGCAAAAATCTCTCGAGGCAAGGTAAGTAGCAATGTGCACACCCACCTGCCCAGAGATCTTCCCTAACAAGTCTCCTCCATAAGCACATGGAAAAACTCTGCCCTTGAAGAGATTTTGTGCAGATTATCTTCGGTGAACAACTTTCAAATACCGCAGACAGGTAATGCTGCATAGTATTATGTTGGCTGGTCTCCAGCATTCTGATAGCAAGTTTTCAAAGCTGCTGAGCATTTCATTTTGTGTTCACAATGTCAACAATGTATGTACAAAGTATGTGAATACTGTACAAATACCAGACAAGCTGGTGAAATTTCCAGGTGTCATACAAACTACATACAACTTAGTATACACCGATCAGCCATAACATTATGACCACTGAGAGATGAAGTGAAAATGTTTGATTATCAAGTTACAATGGCACTGGCAAGCGGGTGAGATATATTAGGCCGCAAGTAAACTTATGCGACTGACAATTTGGAATGGATAGACAATTGGGTCAGAGCAACTGCAAAACTGCAGCTCTTGTGAGATGTTCCCAGTCTGTAGTGGTCAGGACCGGCCAAAAGTGGTCCAAGGAAGGAAAACCAGTGAACTGGCGACAGGGTCATGGGCGGCCAAAACACGTGGGGAGCGAAGGCTGGCCCATGTAGTCCGATCCAATAAAAGAGCTACTGCAGCTCAGATTGCTGAAGTGAATGCTGGTTCTAATAGAAAGGTGTCTGAACACACAGTGCATCACAGTTTGATGTGTATGGGGCTGTGTTGCTGCAGAGCAGTCAGGGTGCCCATGCTCACTTGTGTCCATCACCTAAAGATCCTACAGTGGCAAGTGGGCATCAGAACTGGACCAAGGAGCGATGGAAGGAGGTGGCCTGGTCTGATGAATCACATTTTATTTTACACCATGTGGATGGCCGGGTGCATTTGTGCCCCTTACCTGGGGAAGAGATGGCACCAGGATTGACTATGGGAAGAAGGCAAGCTGCCGGAGGTAGCATGATGCTTTAGGCAATGTTCCATTGGGAAACCTTGGTTCCTGCCATTAATGTGGATTTCACTTTAACATGTACCACCTACCTAAACATTGTTGCTGACCAAGCACAGACATTAATGGAAACAATAATTCCTGATGGCAGTGGCCTCTTTCAGCTGGATAATCCACACCGCCACAATGCAAAAATGGTTCAATAATGGTTTGAGGAACACAACAATGAATTCAAGGTTATGACATGGCCTCTGAATTCTCCAGATCTTAATCCAATCGAGCAACTGTGGGATGTGCTGAAAAAACAAGCCCGATCCATGGAGGCCCAACCTCCCACCTTACAGGACTGAAAGGATCTGCTACCAATGGCTTGGTGCCAGATACCACATCATATCATCAAAGGTCTAGTGGAGTCCATGTATCGACAGATCAGGGCTATTTTAGTGGCAAAAGGGGGACCTACTGAATGTTCGGTGGGTAGTCATAATATTATGGCTGATCGGTGTATATAAACCAAGCCAACACTTGGGTAAGTCATCTAAAATTCAGGTTTCATTTTTGCAATAATCTGACAGTTTGAGAACATCTCAAGGAGAGATCAGAAGGCTTTTAGAATTACCAACAGTCTAAGCCACTATTTACCTGTGGATTGTGAGATACATTCTCATAAGCTCAGTGAATTCCTTGTCTGTGTAACCCAGCATGTTGGTGAAATTGTGTGACCAGTCCAGATTAGTGTCGATGGCACCAATGCTGCTTCCTTCTCGGTAAAGGTTACGGTAGATCTTAGCAGCAATGCATGGGAGTTTAGCAATCAGATCCATGGAGTCTTCATATATCAACTTCAGACAAAGAAAAGCAAAAGTTAGAGTCTGTGTGGGCAAAAAGTAACCAACAATGTATAGAAATGACCTGGTGATCTGCAAGAAACTGATACATTGACAGGTTACTGTTTGCACTTACCAAACAGATAACAAAATGCTTTCACTGATATCTTTAACAGACCAAAAGGGAGCAAATAAGAAAAGTACACCGTTTGTGTTTCCATACACTTTAAAGTGCATCTAAACCCAAAAGCACATTTGCAGCTTACTGATGATTACATGTAGTTGCTGCATTTGCTTCTGTTTTTCCCTTAATTTTCACTGGTGAGGCTGCCAGTAACACTCCTTCTGTCTTAGGGTGTCTCCACTCTGTGGAGGAGCAATGGAGCCACCCTTGGACAGCAGCACTGTCATACGCAGTGGGGGGTGTACCGTTAGATGCACCAGATTTAAATATACTTGACTAAGAAATCAAATCCTAACTCCAGCTAACTTTTTAACCCCTTAATGACCGAGGCCTTCCCCCCACCCCTCCCCCCGTTTTTTGTCACCCATATAACAATCCACATTTTAGGCCTAAAAATGACTTCAAACCGCCAAACATGATATATGTTCTGAAAGCCAAGACCCTGTACAACAAAATGGTGGCAGTTGCACATTTTTATATTGCATGATATTAGTGCAACTTATTTTCAAACCCAAAAATTAAGTTAAATTTAGTGCCCCAAAACACAAAAATACCCCAAATACCCATTTTTTTTAAAATAAAATATTTAGGTAGAAAATTGTGTGCGTCTGTGAAACGACAACAAAATTCAGTACCCGAAAAAGTCTATAAACGACACTTTAAAAGCCCCTGCAGTTAACCATCAGTTTAGAGATGTGCATAAATATTGGCCTTTATTGTTCTCACTGGCGTGCGCGGCAATACCCAACATGTGTAGCGTGATCATCGATTTCGTATGTAGGCGCACCCGACACGTGTTCACGTTATGATGTGCATGCTCACACGGGCAGGGGACTTAAAAAATATTTTTAAAAATAATTTTTACATCTCTTTATCTTAATATTTTCTTATTTTACTTTAATTGCTATCACATAGGGGGACTTACAAGTCCCCCATGTGATCGCATATTGGCAGTGACAGGTACTCTTTAAGGTGATACTTGGGGACCAAAGTATCACACGATAATCGGCAGGTGTATGGAAGGCGTGCGACCGTTTCTACTGTACGGTCGCACGTCTTTTGTCTTAAGAGCACGCTTGAAAACCTGCTGAAAATCGTAGGATTTTCGGCGGGTTAGTGGCGAGCTCGGAAGACAAATGCCGAACAGACCGTTGTGCACAAGCGCACACTGCCCGCTCAGCATTGGAATCATCCCAAGCCCTCCCCTTGGCGGGGAGGGCTTGCGATGATCGCAAGTACGATCTGCCTGTCCCAAGATGGGCAGATCCTACGAGATTTTAGTTACCTTACAACCATTGCACAACGAAAGTCGTGCGATGGTTGTAAGGTGTATGGCCAGCTTCACTGTCACCTTTCCCGTTTACCTGCCCGTGGAAGCAATCTTGCGGTAGCTGTGTTGCCAGAATAGTTTATATTGTAAAGCCAGTCGCCAGCTCTACAAATGTAAACAGAGTCCAGGTGGCTGACACTGTTTAAACAGGCCCGCTGCCAGTGACGTACTCTGTATGTCACTGGTCGCGAACGTGTTAAACAGTTACAGCAACAGTTTTCTTTTTCTTTTGGGTTAAAGGTTTTACAGAAGTTAATACAAGCTGACCATTGTAATCACCAGTCAATTTTATATGGTTTGTGTCAACCCTCTAATTGCCATTTCTGTTGGACTGCCTGGTCTGTTTAAGGAAGTTGGAAAATAAATCTAGTCATACACCTATAGATTATCTGCAGACTTTCTATGGTCAGATGTAAAAAGTGCAACAGATTCCTCCATCTACGCTAAACTATGTGGAATCTCCCACTGGGCCAAGCTTCAGTATCTTGCTAGTCGACCCCGCTGGCTCTCAAAATACATAAACAAGCTGATTGGTTGCAGGCATTGTTCAGGTGTTTTGAGAGCCAGCGGGGCTGAAGAGCTACTAGATATTATATTTTTGCTTGTGTTTAGATACACACTATACATGGCCATAGTGTACACACCTTTCCTTTGTTATTCCACTCTGTTTTGTATACAAATTGGGGATCACAGATTTCCAATGAATCCTCCTCTATAAAACAGTTCTGGTCAAAGCTTGTTGATCTGGTTTTACTCAAAGAACCTATTAGAATCTAAGTCATACTGTATTTAATATACAAAAGTTAAGATGGCTCATCCTGTTTTAAAAGGCAATGTGCCATTCCGAGTTTCCGGCATAACAGAAAGCTGAGGGATATCTGTGATCCAGGTGTGTCTTATGCATAGAAATACGTAGAAATGAAGGTGCTGCTAATGGTAACCAAACTCCAGTAGTCCTTTATGTCACAAAATGAAAGCTAAAACCTGAATGGACCTTCACTTTCCATACAAGGCTCATACTCGTACTTCAAATGGTTACATGGAGGATACTTCCCAGAGTTTGGGGACCGATAAGCATCAGGCAACAGTCTCCCAGTCTGGCCTATTTGGCCTGGACAGAGTGATGATCTAATGCCTATGGGGCAGTGCAAAAACAGAACGAGAGTCCTCCCTACACTTTAAAATCGTAGTTTGCTTATTTGATCTTTGCAGCCATCTCTTCCCTGCAGAATGGTTTGATAAGCTGCAAGTTTAGTTCTATAGGTCAGGCACCTGACAAACTTATTTTATATTCTTTACACTATGACTTTATGTTTTTAAAGTTATAAAAAAATATGGGATTTTAAAAAAATACAATGAAAAAAACAACCTTAACATTACAAATGTGAATGTGTCAATTAGCATAGAAAACCAATTTAGGTGTACTGACATTCTGGACTGCTTCCACTGTACAAAGTTTCCATGTGTCCTTTTAAGAACAGCGTCGAGTAGTCCAACACAACACACGTCATGCTCGAAGCCCAGCACATACATTAAATACTCTGCATGCCCTTTCTGGAACATGTACACACAGGCATGTGGGAGGGATTGTTTCAGTGAGAACTCAAGGTCTGCCTGACACTGGGAAGTCACGAGTGTCTCTGGCTGGTTCACATTTACAATGTCTTTGCTTTCTCTGCACTGCATTTACCTTTCTGCTAGTAAGAGGAGCACGCACGCACACACACACACACACACACACACACAATCTCAGTTCAGTACAACATGTGTTGAGGCCATGACAACGGAGATCACTGTGTGAATGTGTGACAGAATTGTCACTGAGCCAAGGACATTGATGGGTGGAGAACAGACGGCATAGTTGGAAATTCTTCACTCCTCCATCGACATAACTATAGTGCTGGTACAAGGTGAAGCAAGGACATTCTGACATGGAGGATTAAACAGGTACAAAGCCGAAAGAGCAGGAAATAGGCAAAGACTGCAAATAAAGCAAGCCATTTCCCGGAACTCAGATTCTATTTGGAGCTGTCTCCCCCTAAAGGTTGGCCGGCATTTTACGGTACAAACTAAACTTCTTAAGATTTTTTCCCCCCTGCATTTAATATTTGTGAACTACTAGTGGGCAGCATTTTATGTTGAGGCACCCCTTTTGAGTTGCAACACTCCAATCTAATGCACCTGTAAAAACCAAGAGGATGAAGTATTGTAGTCCCGTGCCTGGGTTGCCAAGTAATAAAATGGCAACCAAAGTAAAGCTGGCCATAAGCTAATATTTTCTTTGTTCAACCTGCGAGCTAAAATATTGCAGATTCCTCCATCAACGCTGTCTTCATTGTGTTCCGACATTGCTCCCCGGCCGCTGTCAGAATGCCAGAGCAGAGCCGGCAGCTGATTGGCTGCCTGCTCTGTTCGTTCCCAGATTTTCCGACTACCTCATTTGATCAGCTGAATGAGGGATGCCAGCAGCACCCACTCTGCGAATATTAATCGGTTTATCAAAAACCAGATGAAGTTCGCATTGTGTATGGCCAAATTAAGGCTTTAAAATGTGTTGGAATCGATGATGTAGCAAAATATAAATTGATTTCTTAAAGTCAGAATTTTAACATGCACATTGTTTCTCACAAGAAAAACCCACAATGATGAATTGTCCATCCACACCACCGCCCATAACATACATGTGGTGAAATTAGCTATAAAAGATAGAAATGGACAACTCTACTTACAATATTCTCTCAGTAGCAGGCCTGTATAATATGCCAGTGCACTCACCTCCCAGTATTTGGATCTATGGACGCCTTCTGCATAGGCCCGGGCAAAATTGCTTTCACTGTTTAGTGCTGTAATCGCAGCACTAAGTTGAGACATGGGGTGCAAATTGGTGGGGAAGTTGTCCAACATAGTTACTACATGTGAAGGCAGGGCAGCTCTTTTTGCCCATTCTTTGGAGATCCAATTCACCTAGCAAAAAAGGTTCACAAATTACTACATGCAACAGGGACACTATTTTCAAGCATATAAAATCTAGGAATCTAGTATTGCAGCTGAGGAAGTCTAACTAGCAACTATCATACATGGAAATTCATTATTCTGCAGGGTGCAGCGTCTGATCAATTCAAAAAACATTCCAACGTGATGGGTTATGGGAAACGGTGTTCCACATTTACCTGCTCCTGACTGGGAATCTCTCCTGTAACCAAGAGCCAGAAGAGTCCCTCAGGCAGCGGCTCTTCTCCCCCTGGAGCCTTGGGCAGCAGCTTCTGACATTCAGGGATGCTGTAACCACGGAAACGAATACCCTGAAAGTAAAAAAAAAATTATATTGTGAGACAGACAGACAGAGAGAGAGCGAGAGACAGACAGACAG